AACTTGCATGGGGACAGCTGGAAGGACTGGCTGTGTGTGGGCTGAGGCTGCTTGCGTTGGTATGCTGGGTGCTCCCAGCTCAACTGTGCTGAGATCTTTATCCTGTCCACAGCCCAGAGGTGGCAGTGGGCGGCCTGCAACTCTGTCCAGATCAGGATCTGCCCTGAGTGAAGAGTGTGGATACACTGATAAAAAGAGTTAATCACTGAAAGACAGTGAGGTGGATGTGGGTGGTCACTTCAGGGGCAAAAAGCACTGGAAACAAGCCAGGCTGTACTCAGGTGGTCCAAGTTCCCCTTTGTCCTTGCTGTCAGTAGCTGGGTCAGATCATAACAGGCTTCTAGGGGCACCTACTGCTCTCCCCATTTGGAACATCTGGTGACTTTGACGGCTTTAGTGTGTCTGAATATGGCCTTACGAAAATTATAAAGTTTGTGAACATAGCTGGGAACTGATGCACCGAGGGAAGCCTTGGGATCTTTCATCTTCTGTGCTATGAGGTCCTGATGGACAGGATGTTGGATGTCTCCCCTTCTGATGGCTTTTGTTTGTGAAAGTTTAGCTCTGCCTTTAGCACAGTGAGTAGCGGAAGAGAAGGAACTTAATCTTCGGCCAAGTGACTTATCTGCTGAGAGCCCAGGCTGTAGGGAGCAGGAGTGTTGAGGCTCTCTGTGTGCTTGGTGGAGCCGGGGGAGGTACCAGGGTCCCAGCAGGGAGAGATGCACTGAATATCAGTTCCCAAACATGTTATTTTACAGCACAGTGCTGCTGATTTCAGGTGTGGGAGGCAAGCAGGTAAGCCAAAACAATTTTACAATGCTTCAGTGCCAATGAGCATGTCCCAGCATGGAAGGATGTGTCCAGCACCCTGCTTTTCAACTGCATTATGCAGCGGGAGAGAGCAGTGTGCTCGGGGCTTCTGGATAAGGAAATCTTTGTGCATCAGCATGGTCTGAAATGCCTGTAATGAGATCCTCCCCTCGCACAGAGACCAAACTAGACTGTGGTATTGGACTTGTTCTCCCAGGCAGCCTTCTACCATCATCTCTTCCTGTGTCTGACAAACCTTGCCTGGCTCCCACAGCTGGGCAGGACCAAGCTCCTGACCCCATGGCTGCCTCGCCTCTCTGATACAGGTTCCTAGGCTGTTCTAATCCTTGAATTTCTAACAGTGCATTTGACTTGGCAGTGTCAGAACTGCAGAAGGGACCGAAATGGGCAGGCAGGGCAGGGTAAGCTTTTCTGACACCTTTTTGCTAATCTGGAAGTTCCCCTCCTGCAGTCCCAGACCAGGGCAGTCTGGTCTTGTAAGGACTTGGAAAAGCTCTTTTGTAAGGAACCTAGAGCAAGTTCAAGTGGAAAGCTGCAGGGAGGAGGTCATAGCCCTGAGCAGAAAGGATGGCAGCTCTGGGAATTGGCTCTACCTCTCACACACTGGATTTGGCTGTGCACATCAGCTCAGCCACCTCCAGGTCACCATTGGTCTCTTCTGGGTTCCCTGGTGAATAGTCCACGCAGTTTGGGAAGGACCATGCAGGGGACTTGGGGCGTTTGTTGCTGAGCAAGGAGTGGTGAGAGGAAGGCAGAGCTGAGCAGCTGTAGCTCCCTTGGTAGCTGGTGGATGCAATAGGTGCCACTGGGTTTGCTCAGATGTTCCCACAGGCAGTGCACCTCATCTCAGCATGGTGCAAGTCTCTGAACTCCAGTGCAAACTCCAGATGATGCAGAGCAGTGTGGAGGCTGGGACAGATGGCCGTCCAGATGACAGAGTCTGTGCTTCCACTTGGTGTCGGGACTGTCTTGTGAGGTGAGTGTATCTCTATAATGGAAGAGATGAAAGAAGGGGTTCTTCAGGCTGTTTTCCTTCTCTGAGAAGGATGCTCCAAGAATCTTTGCACAGCATTCAACGATAAAATTCCTTTGTATTCAGGAATGGCTCCTGGAGCTATTTTCAGTGTGTGAGTGCCAATAAATGATTTCTTGACCTACCAAACAACTGAGGTTAGAAAACGATGCAAATGCAGTAACACTTCTCTCTGGTATGGTGACTTACGTAAATGTCAATGAATGCAGCTGCACAGCACACCATCAGGGCCGAGGTGCTTTTGCACTTGCTCACAGCTGTGGTAGGTGAAGATGCAGAGTGGATGTCCTAACACCCACCTTACTCTGGGATGTATTTAACCTCTGACACCCCAGGCAGGGTGGCCCAGGTCTGGCCAAGCGCATGCTTCACTCTGGGAGCACTGCTGTAGAAACCAGCACTCCTGATGGCAAGGGAAGCTTTTGCCAGATCAGGGGAAAATCTTTGACCTTTGCAATGTGTCTTCCTTTTCTGCTCAGAAAATGTTTAGCATGCAGCACCCGCAGACTGCTGGTCACTCATCCCTCCTGTTCCCCCCCTTTCAGTGATCTGTGGTGCCAGATAAATAGCTGCTTCCAGTATTGCATTAAGTGAAGGGACCCCTGAGGGCTGTGAAAATGGAGTCAGGGATCCTGCACGCAGATATTGTCTAGGGAGGTGGGAGACCTGGAGTAGAAAAGGTGTCATTAATCCAGGAGGATTTATTCAGCTGTTCCTGCCCCAATCCCAGCCACCCTGAACTGAGATATATTCCCTTTCAGGGGTGATTTGTGTTGAAATTTGCACCGTGCCTCTTGCCTGGTGGCAATGGTTTGTGCCTCTGTTACGGACCTGGGTATATTGTTTGGTGTTTCACAAGTGAGAACAGTGGAAACATCTCAAAACCAGGAGACTGACTTAAATTGCCCTTCCCTCCTGGATTTTTCCAGAGGAGTGCACATAGGTGGCATGTCTCTCCATCCCATTCTGGGTTTCTCCCGGATCCAGGGAATTTCAGGTGAACTCTCTCCTTGTGCATACTCGTATGTCTCCTTTTATTACCATCTGTACAGGGAAAGTGCTGCTTCTGTGGCACACACACACGCACCTGACACAACATACTCATTTCTGAATGGAGAGCAGCGAGGGAATTGATTAATGAAATGCATCTCTCGCTTCGATTTGTTTTGTGGGTTGGGCAAAAGCACTTGCTACATTAGCATTCAGCTGGTGCAAATGAGGATTGTAAAGGCTTTTTTTTTTTTTTTTTTTTCCTTCCCCCCTGCCACTGAATACAGTCGTCTATCCAAAGCTGTTTACGTGTAGATGGAGTTATTCCTTGTGCTGATTGCCCTGGGCACTGCTGATCAGTGCAGGGCAGCAGAAGAAAACCTGTTCA